CGTGTGTGTGCGTGTCCAAGATCCCGAGAGGAGAATGGAGGAGAAGGGATTGCGGCGTGGCCATCCCCCCTGGGGGCTGATTTCACGCTTTCTGTCTCTCTGTCTCTCTTTCTAGTGAGTGCTCACGTCCTATAGCAAAAACCTCTCAAAAAATAAAAATATTTTCTGGCTTCAACATATATCACTGGCTGGTGGTTTAAAGACTCTGCTCTACATCTTGTTCCTTCAAATACCGAAGTTATCAATAATATAATGTAAGTATTATCAGTAATTTCCAGGTTTAAATGAGGTAAAGAATAATGTAGAGGCTATTATATACTTCCATTTGTATATAAAACAATATTTATACTATATTGTATTTTATGGATTAAAGTAACCAAATGGGAAAATCTATAATAATGAATATAAAAAATCATTGCAAATGTCATAAAATAAAATATGCTAATTTCTATGATGTCTTTCAGTTCCAAACAGCATTTGATACGCAGCTCTGTGACACTGGGGATCAAACTCCACACACCACAATATCCAGCCGGTTTCCTTGGTCATCAGATTTTCCAGTAAGCACTGACAATAAGAGACCCTACGACAAAGTCAAAAAATGAGAGAATATAATGATATTTATATTTTCTGTCTTTCTTTCTTTCGGCCTGTAGCCCTAGCAGTGGCACTTGAGTTCATAAAGGCAGTTGGCCCCCGGCTTCAGCTGATTTCCAGAACCATCTGCACCATGATTTTCAGATCTAAAGCAGCAATAGGCAGTGTCCCTTTTTAGAGACTGTAGTGCTAACTCTGTGTGTGTGTATGTGTGTGTGTGTGTGGGGGGCAAATGTCATAAAATAAAATATGCTAATTTCTATGATGTCTTTCAGTTCCAAACAGCATTTGATATGCAGCTCTGTGACACTGGGGATCAAACTCCACACACCACAATATCCAGCCAGTTTCCTTGGTCATCAGATTTTCCAGTAAGCACTGACAATAAGAGACCCTACGACAAAGTCAAAAAATGAGAGAATATAATGATATTTATATTTTCTGTCTTTCTTTCTTTCGGCCTGTAGCCCTAGCAGTGGCACTTGAGTTCATAAAGGCAGTTGGCCCCCGGCTTCAGCTGATTTCCAGAACCATCTGCACCATGATTTTCAGATCTGAAGCAGCAATAGGCAGTGTCCCTTTTTAGAGACTGTAGTGCTAACTCTGTGTGTGTGTATGTGTGTGTGTGTGGGGGGGGGGTCAGCAGAGTCTCTAGGACCCCAAGGCCTTTGGGCAGTGTCACATGCTCATGAGTGAGAACACTAGCTGTACCTACCGCCTGCTCTGAGCTCCTTGGTTCAGGAAGTCTACTTTATTCGCCACACTTGGCCATCCAAGAGACAAGGCGAAAGCATCCCTGTCTTTTGGAGAGGTCATACACTCAGGCTTTGCTTTTTTCAAATCTCTCTCTTCAGGGAATATTTATCTCTGGGTGATCTCAATGTTCTTTCCTTTTCTCCCTACCTTTTCCAAACCGAACAAGTTTCCTGTGTGAAATTTTCCCTAGTGATAGTTTCCCTTTCTTTTCTCAGTCCTAAGTGATCCACAGAAGTAAGAAATATTGGCTAAATAGCAGAAATTATTACCTTATAGTGATACTTTAAAAGGTATTTATGCATCCTATTTTGATTTTTTTTTGAGAGGTTTTTGCTATAGGGTGTGTGCACTCGCCAGAAAGGAAGACAGAGACAGACAGACAGAAAGAAAGAAATCACCTTCCAGGGGGGATGACCACACCACAATCCCATCTCCTCCATTCTCCTCTCAGGATCTTGGGCATGCACGCACACACGCCCAGAGTTTAAGCCACCAGGTCCTGGACTCAAACTGCGGTCGACAACATGGGAGTCCAGCGACACAGTCATTATGCTAACTGCTGGTCCTGTGTCATATTTTGATTTTATTAAGCTATTTTATTTCCCTATGGCATTGACCTTAACTTTTGGAAAGTATGTTTAGTAGCAGTACACGAAAATTTCCAACTTAAATATTACTGATTTACTCACTATTTGATTTCAGTTGGCATCAAGAAAGAAAACACTGACAGAAGTTTTCACCTAGAGTTCAATAATTTTAAATTAGAGGGTTGACACCTTTTAGGACTTTGGGAAATTGCTTGCAATCATTGTTTTTAATATTGATTGCTTCTGCACTACATTCTGTTTTCTTCTCAGCTGTTTATTGATGTTCGTTAGAACTTTTGACTGTGTACTATATAGATCTTCTTTATTATTTTTTTTCTTCATTTGGGATATTTATTATTTACTTGCCTTCTAGTTTACTTCTATTTGAAATTATATTTAAAGGGGAAATTGCTTGCAATCATTGTTTTTAATATTGATTGCTTCTGCACTACATTCTGTTTTCTTCTCAGCTGTTTATTGATGTTCGTTAGAACTTTTGACTGTGTACTATATAGATCTTCTTTATTATTTTTTTTCTTCATTTGGGATATTTATTATTTACTTGCCTTCTAGTTTACTTCTATTTGAAATTATATTTAAAGTATTTACAGTAGTTTCTATATTATTTTTTTTTATTATTTTGCCAGAGGGCTCATGCACTCACCTAAGAGAGAAGGAGAGGAAAGGTAAAGCACCACCCATAAATAATGATCCCTTCTCAATTCTTCTGCCTCCATCTCTCCTTCTTTCAGGATTTTGGGCATGCAAGTACATACAACCCGCATGTTTTTCAAACCACTGGGTCTGAGACTTGAACTGTATAGTGAGCCATGTGAAATGCAGCCACCTTAACCACCATGTCACCAGCTGACCTTACTGTGTTTTAAAGTTTAAATATTGTATTTTTTAATTCTATCACGTTAACTGGTTTCTATAAATATATCGAATCTACTGCTATATTAATATTTTAATCATTTTATCAATTTTTCTACTCCCTTAAACATCTCAATAAACATATCAGTGTATTTATGATGTGTATTTTTTTGCTTCCTCTTTTTTTTTAGAGAGAGATTTTTGCTGTAGGGCATATGTACTCGCTGGAGAGACAGAGAAATAGAGAGATAGGAAGCAAGAAATCACCTCCCAGGGGAGATGGCCATGCCACAATCCCTTCTCCTCCATTCTCCTCTCATGATCTTAAGCACACACACATGCACACGCTCGGCATGAGTTAGAAGCCATTCGGTCCAGGACTCAAACCGCAGTCAACCATGTCAGGGTCTAGTGATGTTACCATAAATTATGCCATCTGCTGGTCCAAGTGATGATTGTGTTTTAACTCTTGTGCCTAGATAATCTGTGATTTTATTTCTCTTTTCTTTTATTAGCCTTACTACCCTTTATGTTTACATACCTGATCTTTTACTTGTTATTGAATACTAAACATGTTTTTAAATGTTTTAAGGTTTTTGCCATAAGGTATGTGCATTCTCCTGAGAGAGACAGAGACAGGGAGAGGGAAAGTGTGAGATCACCCCCTGGAAGATGGCCAGGGCACAATCCCTTCTCCTCTATTCTCCCCCTGGGATTGTGGCACACACTCACAGGCAGATTTTCTACCTCAGTCGGTGAGGCGGAGAGATGTGACCCCGAGAGGGAGCAGTGGTGGATTTGGAAAGAAAAGACAGACAAACACAGAAGCAGAGAAAAGTGGGGACTGGGCTGACTGGGTGTCTCTGATGGAGAAAACCGTGGCACTGAGCTATTCCCAGGTTCATTCTTTTATAGGGCAATGGCGAATAGAGAAGCGGAAGGTAAAGCCAGGTGTTTTCTATTAGCGACTGCAGCTGTGGAGCAGCTTATATTTTGTGATTCTAAACAAGCCTCCCCTGCCCTACTCTGGCTGACACAAAATTTCCTTTAATTTACACCATGCAGTGCAAAATAAAAGCAGATCATATCCTGTTAGAGCTTTTGTGGCCTTGCAGCATCAGCACAATGACCATATCTTCACTTGTCTTTAAAGGTCACTTTTATGTTGCTCAGATCTGACTGCTCCCTACAATTTTCAAGCTACCAGGTTTGGGACTCCAACTGCAGTCGATCATGTGGGAGTCCAGTGTCTCAACCACTATGCTGCCTACTGACCCACAAAAATCTTTTTATGCCCCTAGAAAGTTACTATTATCAATTATGTAAGGAAAGAAATGAAACTTAATTCCAACTGCAATTATGTTTAATGGAAGCTGGACATGTTTAGATAAACTCATAATATTTCACAGTGGGAGTTGGAATATATATTCTTTTATTTATCTTAGGTATCCCCCGACAGGGTGTGTGCACTAGATGGAAAGTGAGAAATCACTCCCCAGAGGGATGGCTACACATCACAGTCTTTTTTCCTCCATCCTCCTTGTGAGATTTTGAGCAAAAAGGTACATACTCCCACTGTGTTTTTCAAGCCATTGTTATGGGACTCAAACTATAGAGCCAGCCATGCAGAATTCAGCACCTTAACCACCATACCACCTGGTGCCCCTATTTATTGTTTTTTAAAAAAACACCTGCCTCCCTAGATTTCCAAAAGCAATGTGTCACCAAGCTACATATCAAAATTCAGAACAAAAAGTGTATTGGACTGTTCACAAATATTGTATTCACCCTAAATTCAACTTGTTATTTCTTGAGTATACATGCCACTGGGTCTGGAGCTCAAACCCTGGTCAGCCATGTGGGAGTCCAGGATCTTAACTACCACACCACACTAGTCCCAAGATATATATACTTAACACTGAGAGTTGAGCCATTTCTACAGGCATTTCAGAAATGTAGAGGTTAACTCTTCAAATTCTTGCTCTCTTCATCTTCAAAATTTGGCAAATATCTTTCAGAAGACTTTCTGATCTGCTTAACACTTTGGCTTCCAATACCACACACTTTAGAATGACAATGGCCTTAAATGGTGAACATGTCCATTCATTTAAGTTCATCAGTTTTGGAATTTGGAATTTGGAATTTTTCATTCCAACTCTGTCAGATGGTCAGTGATTTTTTTTGACCTACAGAAGTAGTTTTATACCAAGACCATCTCTGTCCAAAGAGGTCAGATGTAGCAATAGATCACAGTGGAAAAGACCTACAGATATTGGTGTCATTTCTGAAAGTTTTTCTTTATTTTCCCTTTTTTTTTTGTAGAGAGATTTTTTTGCTATAAGGCACGTGTGCTCACTGGAAAGACAGAAGAGAGAGAAAGCGAGAAATCACTACACCTGGGGAGGATGGCCACACTGTTATCCCTTCTGCTCCATTCTCCTCCAGAAATCTTGGGAATGCACGCACATGTCCCCAGCGTGTTTCAGGCAGCCGTGTCCGGGACTCAAACCATTGTCAGCCATGTGGGAGTCCAGCAATGTAATCATTACACCGTCTGCTGGTCCCAGAAGTTTTTCTTTTTTATGGAATGTTAATTTCTAATCTCATTGCTTTTGCAGGAATCTGTAATCTTTAAAAGTAAGGTGACCTCTTGCTCGAATTTGGCTTTCTTCTAAACTGCCTGCCTTGTTTCTTCCAAAAATAGGATACTAATCAAAATAGAGGGAACAATCTTCTATACTTTTCTTCACGACTTGTACCATGTCTTAAACTATTTTACAAAATATGAAAGGTGAAATATTTACCTTATTAGTGTTTAAATATTAGGTATTTTATTAAATATAATTAATTTGAAATATTTACCTTATTATTTTTTAAATATTAGGTATTTTATTAAATATAATTAATTCTGTATAAAAATATCTTATTATATATTTATCTGTATAAAATCTCTGTAGCTTCTACTTCTGTGAATTTAATTTGCTTTTTCATGAATTTTTCACATTTTAACTAAAATTTTCTTTGTAAAGAGAAATGATCTAGTTTCCTTATTTTTCTATAATTTGTATTATACTTAATGT